AGGCCATAATACTGCATCTATACATCTATGACTTATTACAAATATGCTTCTAACTGACCACAAGAAAAGATGCAGCGTTCAACAATTCAATTAAAAGCAATAAAGTTAAAAGGAGCTAATGGCGGCACACACACTTACTATTTAGTGGAGTCAGAGAGCTGGTACTCTCGCCTGCGGTCGTAGGCTTCCTGGATGCCTGGATCTGACCAGAGCTTCTTTATTGCGCTGACATAGGGCTGGTCAAAGGAGCAAATCTTCTCCACGTCGACCTCTCGCACCAGCAGAGCATTGTTCTGTGGATAAAGAGACCGTACACAGTAAAAATCCCATTTTATGACTTAATGGCTGTGTAATACTAATGACTTACAGCGGGGTTTCGAACCAACTAGGTCACAAGTTGTCGAGTTAAACTTTAAGGATCTTTTTTAGGAAATATTAACTGATTCTTCAAAACCAAAACATGAGAATAATTAACCGTAATCCTGCACTGAAGAAAAGACAGCTGACCGTGGTGTGACAGCAGTAAAATTTACAAGCGAGGCTTGTAGTGCTTTTTATAGCCACGTTTATGGCCTATCTGGGTTTGATTTGCATCTTGACGTGCACTCTGGGCATCAAAGAGATGATTACAGCGCAGTGACGGCGGGGGATTGTTCAGAGTGCAGCAGTCACCTTGTTCTCTTCGTATTTGAACGGAATCTTGAGGTGCTCGGTGGCACGGACCATGGCCTGCATGGAGGTGAAGATGTTCTGGTAGACGAGTTTGGTGAAGCCGCGCTTGTCCTCGTCGGTGTAGCCCGCCCCGTGAATGATGCGCATCTGTTTGATGAACGTACTCTTGCCGCTCTCGCCCGTGCCTGAGGATGAATAAACAACAACATTGGAACAGGGTTAGATCATATTTTGGCCTCAGTTACATATCAGCCTTTGGACTTTTTAGAGTACCAAGGATATCAAAGCCTATCTGGAGCTTTTTCACATTTGGCTCCAGTTTGTATCCAGCTTTTTTGAAGGTTTCAGACAAAGGCAACACTTGCGAAGACTCCAGATGATGCCAACTTTATAAGGATGATAGTTTTATATGTTGATCCATTTACAAGTTGTAACTGCTGCCTAACACGTTTGTTGCTTGCTTAATGGAATACATGATATTAACTAATCACATAACATGTCCATATGACAGTAATATACAGCTATAATAGTTTCTTTGACAAGTATTAAAACTAGTGCTGTCAAACGATTAATCGCATCCAAAATCAAAGTTTTTGT